AAAGTACACAAAGACTTCAAATTACTTTAAAACTATGTGGAGACCTGTACCTTTAAAATTCCTTGATAATACTGTTTTTATGATTCAAAATTTGATGATTCAATGGATTTAGGAACAGTAATTTAAAAATAATCATTTTATTGTTTCTGATGTGTCAAAGTACTCAACAAACAAAACAAATAAGAACTAAACTGTTTAATAATCGTGAAAGAGCTGTAAATTTTATTTCAGAAAGTGGGTAATTTTCTTCAGTTATGAGTAGTGGTATTTTATCAATAGTTATTAAGTCTGTCAGTCTGTCCACAGACATTTATTTCTTGAGCATCTACTGTGTTCCAAGGGCTGTGCTAAATCCAGACATACACTCTGCCCTCACTGGATTGAATAGTCTGATAAGAAAGACACGTTAAAAGCAAATAATTACTTCCTTGAAGAGTACAACAGGGTTTCACTAGATAACTTCCTCCTCATTTGAAGACAAAAACAAAAGAATCTAGCTTAAAATTGCCAGATGGCACCTAAAGTATTTAAATTATAAATAATTGTAATGCCAGTGGGAGGCATATTAAATAAAGGTCCGCATTTCCTTAAACCTGGGGTAGCACTATCTTTGTAGACAAAACTTTATTCTTGCAAAAGGAGAAAAATCAATGGAAGAATACTCAAAATCCTCCCTATTCTTCACTTTCAACTAATTCTTTGTGTCAAAATCTGTGGGGTCTTCATTATAAAGCTAGCAAACACGTCCAGTTAACTTTCATTAGAGTATAAATTCCTTGGAGGTAAGAAAGGACATGGTCTTTGCTAGCTTGAGTTCATTGTTTCATATCTAGATAGCATCATAACCACCATGCATGAGCATTTACTATAATAATATATCTGATTAAATTTTCTCAAATACATCCTAAGGCAATCCTGCTCAACCAATACCTTACTATCTTTCAAATAAATCGTCATTTTCCTGAAAACACAGTCTACTTTTGCCTTACGGAGAAATATTATTCCACACACAAACTCAACAGCCAGACATCATTAAACCCTTCCCAAACCTCACTCCCAGCTTTTTAATGTAACAAATTTTTTAGCACTTGGTTAGTACCTACCAACTATATATACAGGTTAGGATTTTGGCATAGAGGGTAGGGACAGAGCAGCTGCGAAAGCTGAAGTCAGTGATGGAGGAGGGTAAGGGGCAGAAATAATTGGCAATGACCTGTGAATGTTTCCTTGAACTCTGTTATCATGGTTTACACCAGTTGCCTATCTGATATCTGTAAAATTGATGACAAAGAGGAGATCAAAAGACTTTTCAGATAGCCATTCTCTGGACCGCA